ATTTTACGATGACTCTACAGACCACTTCTGGTGCTTTCGGGGACCACCTGTGTCTTAACCGGTGGTCCACGGACCACCGGTTAAGAACCACGGGTTTAAATGAATTACGCAGAAATAGGTATAAGCAAAAAATTAATGTTCAACAAGCAAGAACTGCAGTGCAAAGTTGTTGACGTTCAGAAGTTAAGCAACAGCTGAAATTAACACTTGTTCTACTCGCTCACATACGCCAAAAAAAAAAAAAATTAAAATGCTAGTAAGTTTTTAAAATATCGGATTCATTAACCATGTTCTAATTACCAAATTAATAAATTAGTTGTGGAAGTTACTAACTTCCTGGCTATGAGAATGGTACTAAAAAGTTGAGCCTTGATTAACATTAATTCATAAATGCTTTATCTACTGGTAAGAACAAAATTTTTATCCAATGTCAACATTAAACATACCTGAAGCAATTATTTTTCTTCTATTTTTTAATCGTTCGAACCTTGCAACTTTTTGATGATTTTGCTTCTCGTTACATATCGAGTTTGATAGAAATAATGTAGGAGCCCAGTTTGGGTTATTTTGCTCTGATGAAGGAGCGCCTGTAAACAGAGTAAAATCAAATGTTTACGTTTACACGATCGCTAATTGTGAATTTCGTAACAATCTTCATATGCTTTTAAACGAATTCCTGCATACCTGAAACGAAATGCCGCGAACACAGCCTACTTGAAGCTGAAGGTTGCCAGTTTTTTCGAGCGATGGCTGACAACCCAAGCCCCGCGGTGAGGTTCTTGTTTTGGGAAGCGAAACATCTTAATTTTAGATAATAAATTCGTCCCAGACCGCATGCTGCAGCTACTGCTACACAACATGAACCTCTTGATGTCATTTCAGTGCAGATTCTAAAATATTTACGTTTGCAAGATGTTTTTCGCATCGACTATTAACACAACTTCCGCGTTCTACCGGAAGTTGAAGAAGGTTCAATTACGTGACTTGCCTCAGGCTTTTTGTAGGCATTTAGGAACAACGGTGAAATAAAGAAAGATGGCGGCACCCGCACTATCGATAGTATCGTGATGGAGGAATCTATAATTCTAAAATATGGGCTATAAAAGGCAAAAGAAGAGTCCCAATTGTAAAATTTAATCATAAAATGGATTACAGTCGACCCCTTATAACACTGTTGATTATTTCATTTTATATGGATTTCGTGTTGTACGAATCACTTAGATTTTACAAATACGCGAGCCGTTCACATCCCGGCACACGTATTTGTAAAATCTAAGTGACTCGTACAACACGGAATCCATATAAAACGGAATAATCAACAGTGTTATAAGGGGGTCGACTGTATTTGTTGAAAGAGCATTCAAAATAGCCACGAAAAAAATTAGAATGCCGGCTACCATCCGAAAAATTCGAAAAGACACTTACATCACCGCATGCACTAACTTGCGCTTTCACAACTTATCAATTTTCATTCATAAAACCACATAATGGACCCAGAAACGAAACTATCTGAGCCATGGAGGACGCCATGTTGCTTTCCACCGCAAATTACTGCTACAAGCGGCCGTTTTTGACGTTCGACGGCGTGCACTCCGACCAGGATTTAGGAACGCGTTCCGCAGGAATTTTTAAATAGATGTCGCTGGCGCAGAGGAATAAAAGAACGCACCCTTAGACACGGTCAATACAATAGCCAGGAAAGTAAAAAGGAAAAGTATGCGATCGGTCAAAATGACACCTTAGATTAGTACTCAGGGACCTTGAAACATCGAGAAATGCAAAATTCGGAGGAGGGATTTCTGTGTGTTGGATATTTGTGCTTTGTGCGCGAGGCACGATTTTATTCACCCTCTGAATTTTAACTCCTGTGCTTTTTGTCGGAAGTTTCTGAAATTTTGTAGGGAGGTTTGTTTATTAGATTGATACTATTAAATTATCAGAGAAAAAAACTGATTTATGTTTTTAGAAAACTACAAATATACAATATACAGGGTAATAAAACAATAAAACCGACCGTTTCAAATAACAAGTCAACGTCAAACGCAATTTAAAATGTACAATACCTAGCAATATTTATTTAAAACCAAAAATTTTTCCGTATATTCTTGTAGATTACGTACTTTCTCGGGTAATAAGGTCATTATTTAACCTAAATGTGGCTATAATTGCTAATTGCGTTTTTGTTCGCTAAAGAACGAAAAGATGGCTTCGATATCTCGTGCTAAAATCAATAGCATAGAAAAGTTTTCTGCAAAAGAATCATTGCACAATATTGCAAAATTACTTTTAATGGACGCTTTTTGTATTGTGAAAGCCTCCTTCAAAATAAAGATCTAATTGCAGCCAAGGGTTCGTCAATTTCGGAAGTTATAAAAGGTGGTAGGAGGAAACATTAAGCGATCCAATATTTTCAAATTGATACGGTATGTTGATGACAGAAAAGTGTCGTTAAACGTTAATCAAGTTTGTTTTTCCAGTGATATAAGTAAATCTTCTTGTAAAAATGCTGCATTTATTCAATGCGCATACTGAAGAAATGTTTGTTTCACACGCATCTACAAGAATTATTATCCACAAAACTGTGCTCCTGAAGAACAAACAGATTAAATTAAATAATGTGTGTAAAAATGTCTTGGTTTCAATAATATCCAGAACTTGGTTGCAACACATGCTTATGCAAAAAGAACGAACTCAAATCTCAGCATCAATCCAGTGAGATGTTATCGGAAGTGATGCAACTTCTGGCATTTTCCAGAGAATACAAATGCTGACTGCTGGGACACCCAGAAAGATAAAACAAGAAAAATTGAAACTGATTGGACTTCCATGTTACATTAAATTTATTTTTGAATTTATTTAATGAGAACAGCTTAATGAAAAATGAATGTTTCAAAAAGAGAGATGATTTTTTAATTTCCCTAAGAGTTATACATAACTAAATCAAACCTAAGATTATACTTTAACAACTAAACCAAATTATGGTAAATATACTACATTAAAATATTCTATTAATGTTACTATTAACTAATCTTACTTTATTCAGGGTACATTCATCAACAAATAAATTCAAAATTGTGAATGCAAAGTAGAGCTCTTAAGAGTCTGGTGGTGCCTGTCATCTTGTTGTTGGCATATGGAGAAAGACACTTGCAGTTTGCTGACAGCTACTGGAAGTTGCATGAGATTTTGAACTGAGGTGCTGAGAGATGCTGGCAGTGCACTTACATTTTGAATACGCCCAAGGAAACTGCTGTTTTGTTGCTTGCAGTGAGCTTTGGTACTAATTCTTTTTATGGAAATGTCTTCTGCATGTTCTGAGAGCTGTTAAAACTAAGTTTGCAGATCTGTTTGCATTAGGACTGTTCTCTTTCTGTCTTTCTCAATAAGACAATCCTTAATTAAGATCTTCAATTATGATCCCTTGGTACAGTATACAAGAATGTAATCACCATTGCAAAAATAGTTAACAAATAAATGTGTTAATGATTGATAGAAAATCAGTGATAAATTTTCTTTATGAAGCCAAGTTACAAATTGTTACATTTCATATCTAAAAGAGCCATAACCACAGTCTAGTAAACAGAGTATAATATGTGATGTATAGAAACAATGTGGCTCTGTTGATTGTTTTCACAATCAACAGAGCCACATTGTTTCTATCAATTTTCTTTAAAAGGATTTTATGTTGTCAATGGTCAAGCACCAGAACTCATTTAACTGCTTCAATATTGACAAGCAAGGAACAGTTAATATGGGCAAGTCATTAACAGTTCCTTGTCATTATTTAAAACAGTTCCAAATTATAATAGTCATCCTCACTAATATTTCCATTGCTTTCTTCCCTTTCTTAATACTGAAGATATATATGAAAAATTAGGCTAGGTTCTTCGAACCCACTATACTCATCTGACAAAAGATAAGAATGATTTTCCTGATCCTGAATCCTGCTATATTACTTCTCAAAAAAACATTCTTAAAGCATCAAACATAGCAGGAAAAAATAAATAAATTTGCAGGAAATATAAAGTAAGAATTTATTATTACAAGAAATCTGAGAGAGAGAGAGAGAGAGAGAGAGAGAGAGAGAAACAGAAGAGTTTTTAACATATTGCAGTCTAACTCAGTGAATACACAATGTCTAACTCAGTAAGTTGTCCTAGTTTACAATATTGAAACACTTGCCTGTAACATCTTCAAACAATTCTGATCAATGGTTGTTGGCATTATTGCAACAATATCTTAAAAATTTGTAACAACTAAGTCTAACAAATGAATGAAAAACTAAATTCTTGGAGGAAACAACAAAGATGATGACCAAAAAATAAATAAAGCATTCTGATCATTTATTTTATTTAACAAATGTAGTCAGAATTGTCAATTATGAGTAATTCTGGATGATTTATAACAATATTTTATTACCATTTCATAAATTTTGATACAAATCAAAATTAGATATGTTTAGTCTGCTGAACGACTAAAATCACGTTTTGTGTACAGCATGACAATTATCACTTTACAAGTACTCTTTTGAATAGGAATGTTTAGCGTATAAAAACATTTGGCCCTAAAAGGAACAAACACACTCATAAATAATGCCTTTAGCTTTGGATGAATTTTCAACATTTTTTTTTTCCATAATTATACAATAAACCATCATTTTTACTTTCACACAAAAAATATGATATTGGCATTTTTTGTAAAGTAAATTGTAATGATTGATTTTGTTTTTTCATGTACAGAAAAATACAGAATTTTTCACTGAATTCAAAATAACAGTAATTTAAAAAGTTATCCAAGTAATTCCAATCAAAATACTCACTTTTTAAATTACCATTTAAATGCTGTTAAGGTATGTTAAAATGCTAAAATGTTGAGTATTAAAATTTTTAAAATGGAAGCAGTTTTGTTTTCTAGAAAAAAAAAAAAATAATAATAATAATGAAATATAAATGCAAAAAAAAAAATCTAAAAATTCATGAAAATAAACATTTATACTTTTGTATTTTAATAAAATAATTTCACTTTATAAGAGGAAAAAAAATCAAAATTATTTGAACAAAAATAATTCCACTGTTAATCCATCAAAAAATATGAGACAAATCTCTTATATAAAAACCATTTGTGGGATGAAAAACAAATTTTCATAGAAAAATTGTCTAACTTAATTTTCCCAATTCAAATTTTTTAAATATATTTGAAGCCGAAAACAAAAGCGAGTCTATAAGGCCTGCAACGGTGAAAGTTCCCCCAATAATTGCACAAATCTGGAAAAAATGAACAAATGTTATTCTATGTGTCCGTGTAAATATATTTGATGATTTGTAATTACTCACAGTGGTTAAGAAACTATACAGAGGTTGTCTTTTCACTGTATATTTTACGGTGATCGGAGTCAAATCGTACCGAAACCAAATGGCTGGCATGATGCGTCCGCTGTGGCCAAAAGAAATGTAACTCTAAAAATATAAATAAATAAATGCAAATTATAAAATGTGCAAATGCATCTCCATAAAGCCATAGAAAATTGAAATACAATACCTTATAGGCTGCCGTATACTGATACAGATGAACTAGTGATCCATCTAAATCTTCATAAATTGTAGGCACAATTTTCATCACATAATCGTGCGATTCTACCGCTGTAATATATAAAATTAATATTTTTCATTTAATAAAACAATAAAATACAATTGAAAAATACCAAAATGTTAAATGTAAAGTTCAAAATCTTGCATCAAAAATAATTTTTAGAATTTTTGTTGTAATTAAACATTTCTAAAAATGCAAATCTGCTGTTCAAAAACTTTTGTAAAGAAAATTTTAAATCTATTTTCCAATCTTATGTAATTGTATTGTAGAAAAATACAGGAAAATTCAAATTTTCGTGTATTTTTCTACAATACAATTACATAAGATTGGATAATAAATTGAATTTTAAAATAAAATTTTATCTTATATATTCAGTAGATAAAGACAACAAAGTTTAATTAAATTTATTATGAAGTATTTATTAACAACTAAATAATTAATTTTTTCTTAATTAATTACATCTAATTCCAATGTTTATATGCATGGCAAAATGTACCATTAAAGATTTAAATTTTCAAACACATTAAAAAGTAAATCTAATTGTCTTATAGCCTTATAGCTTTTTCCAAGCTATAATAAGTTTATATAAATACAGTTGACCCCTTATAACATGGTAGATTCGTTCCAGTTTTTATGAAATCCATTTTCTACGAGTCCTTAAATACATGAGCCAATCACAACCCAGCACGTATGCAGTTTACAGACTACAGCTGCTTGAAAGGTTTTCTTCCATAAAATGAATCTATTCTAGACTAATTTGATTCAACATTTCCAAAATACATATAATTTTTTGGGAATAATCCATATAAACTATGCTATAAACAAAAAATTGTAGGATTACTTACCAAGCGTGCACCATTCAACGATGCCATTGCTTAAGCTTGTTTTCGTCGTGGAGCGGTGCATCGAATGGCATTCGCGTGCTTCCTGATAAATTATTTTTTCTGCAAAAACTTTGCTGAACTTTTGAGACATCATTAATATAAATATAATTTTTATGGACGTTAAATAATAAATGGTTTTTAGTAGGTCCGCTGCTCATTTAAACTCAACGGCTTTTGCAATATCTGCTATTGGTCTAAATTCGACCAATCCTGTCGCAACACGAGTCAGTGATGACGTTTTACCAAATTATACGAATCTCTTTTAGCGTGTTTATACAAATACAGTCGCAATTTTTTCGCAGTCATATAGGAATCCAAACTATATTAACCCATTTTATGGGGGGTCTACTGTAATATTTTTTATCATTATAAAATACTCTTAAAAAAATGAAATATTTGGAATAATGCTACACTGTTCCACAATTTATTACACATCAAAATATTCTGTTATCTATTGGAAAATTTTCAAATTATTAACATATTTTCAGCTAAATTAGTAATTATGTGAAAACAAAATTATAGTAGGGTCCCAGAAACTCAACTCTTGATAACTCATCATGTTGTTCAAAAGAAAGAAAAAGGCAATCTAGTTTATACCACTATAACTTAGCACTAGGATGAAATAAATTATCATTCTTCACTGGCGACACTTGATAATAGCATCAATTCTACATGGTAACAAAGAATATAACCCTTTTCCCAGCATCACAGTAAAATTCCATGATGCAAAAAGTCACAAATTCGAAGTTTTAATTTTAAAAGTAGCCACTGAATAGACAATACTTTTAAAATTAAAACTTAACTACAAATAGAAATAGTCACTATGGGTAAATAGTTAATACATATACAAACTATATAACACACATGTAGTAATAAGACATTATCCAGAGGAAAAATTTTATATCTTTTGTAGAATAGTAATTACTTTGCTAGATTGTACAGGTATCCCTCGAAAATATGGTACTTCTATAACACGGTTTTGAAAGTCCTTCATACAAAATTTCACAATTTTTAAGTGTAAACTTCATTATTCAAAATTTTTTTTATTCAAGCAAGCACGCATGTCGTCTCAAATTTGCTCATGAATTTTAGAATACTGAAATTTTCAATTTGTTACGTGCATTTCATTGGGTTTACTTTAATAAAAACTAACAGTACAATTGGTTTTTCCTTCTCTCAGCTTTCCCATCAACAGGTGTTATTGTCTTTGCTTTCAGATTTTAGCATTTAAGACTGTGTTTAGCATTTAAGACACCACTGTGTTTTGTTTTTATAGATTAATCTTCATATTTAGTATAGTTTATTTAAACATTTTTAGATAAGTGCTATTAAACTTCTTTTAACTGTAGGTAAGCAATTAATAAAATGACAAACAAAATATGGTGGTATCTCGGTACTCGTACACAAATTCTGGAAAAAGTCACTCAGTACTCGACCAAACAAACACAACCCACTAGAACAAATTTTCAATTAATAACATATTTTTATTCCATAAGAATTATTTGTTATAAAAATCAAAAATATAAAAATGTTGCCAATACTTTTGATCAAGATCAACAAAAAAGCTGAGGTGATGACAATACTTTGTAAAAAGAAAATGCCTTCATTTAACTATAATTAATATTAATGAGTAATACAGTACTTTTAAGTGTTATTGTTTAATAATTATTGATTGGAAATAAATTATCAATTGCTTTAATAAACATATTTCTCTTAGTGATGAAAAAAAATAGTACATGATTGCTAACTTCTGGAACCTAACCCCATGTTTTTCATTAGTCCTTTGTTTCATATAGCATGGATTTGCATAACATGACACTTTTCCAGAACATAACTACTGTGTTATACAAGGGATACCTGTACTGTATATGTTTTGCTCTAAATGTTTTAAAAGATTTTTAATAGATGAATCTGTAGTAATGTATTATGAGTAACCCACTCCAGAGTCCATAAAACACATCATTTTCAGTAACTCATCTCCTTCTCAGTCAATATTAAGTCAAATTTGCAGGACTCTACTGTACTAACCACAATGTATTACGTTTTATTAGAATATTGCATAAAATTAATTTTCCTTGCCTTTTTCCATGATATATTATTATTAATTCATAATTTATAAAATCAACACTAACACACTAAAAAAATCAAAGACTGATCTTAAGAAAGAGAATGATATCAAATTACTAATCAATTCTTTCTAAAAATATTGTTTATACAGTAGAGCATCAATTATCCAAATCAATTGGGGACTGTGGTTGTTCAGAAAATTGATTTTTTGGATAACTGATTATGTACGAAAAAATATATTAACCTGTTCCATGTTAAAATTCGTTCAAATCCTGGCATGTCCTTAAGTACCCTCTCATGGTTGCGCCAGTGCTGCCAGCTAAAACACACACATCAACAAAAATAATATTGGAGTATCCCAAGACATAGCCAAAGATTGTAGTGCCACAGCACTAGTGAAAATTTAAATTTGCCAACTGGAAAGCTTTCGGTTAATTGATGTTTCGATTGATCGCCATTCGGATAATCGATGCTCTACTATATTAACATTCTTCTATAATATTGACACTTTAGTTTACCTTTAAAGTAAGACAATAATTTACAGTAGATCCCCCTATAAAACCGTTTCCTATAGTTATGATTCCTATAAAAATTGTGGCAGTACAGTAGATCCCCCTATAAAACCGTTTCCTATAGTTATGATTCCTATAAAAATTGTGGCAGTATCCGTAAACAACGGTAAAAATAACTCCTATAATACGTAAAACGTCATCGGGCAGCCGAACTACTTTCCCGCCGTCCGTAGCGC